ACACTTCTCATTAATAATTATTATAATTATAATTAAGAAGGTACTGAAAAGCGTAACACAGTACAAAAATTGATGCGTCGTAATCTAAGATTTTATATTTCAATGATCACCGGCGACGCCACGTTGTGGTTCTGGGGTTAAGTATATACTTTTGTTGTTTCACCCTTACTTCATAATTAAGAACTGGTTGCAAAATTTGAACAAACGGAATCTGTTTGCAATCGAAGCAACCTAGGATACTCAATCAAGCCACCCATATTAAGGTTCTTGGTGAGTTTGGTGTAGATCCCCCAATATCACTCCGTTCGGCATCTAGATTAACAGAGCTTTGCCCTGCGTCTGTTAGGAAGATGTTGAAACATCACAAATTCCACCCATTCAAAATGCTTATCACACAAGAACTTTGCAGAAAGGCGTTTAGAATTTTGTGAAATCATGACCAATAAAAATAACCAATCAGATCCAAATACTAAAAAACATTTGCTTTAGCGATAAGTGAATTTTTGATCTAATGGAAACAAAGTTGTCTTTATTGGAGCAATGAAAATCTTCATCTCGTCAGAGAAAATCATACCCAGTATCCTGAAAAACAGTCTGGACAAGAATTTGAAAAGATTATTAGTTCCTTAATTATTGACCAAAATTGAAATGGTCTAATTTATTTTAAAATGTTGAATGAAACAATAAAGCCACTAATAATAAATGAACTAGAAAATCAAATAGAATAGGATGATGAACCAGCTTTGGATGAAAATGTATTACATTTTCAAAAAGATGGGGCACAACCTCATTATGTAGTAGCTGTTAGGGCTTGGCTGGATCAGAATTATCCAGAACAGTGAATTGGTAGAAGAGGACCAATAGAATGGCTCCCATTAGACTTTTTCTTTTCTCAGACTCATTTTCGCAGTTCAAGAATGACGTCAAAAAAAAGATTTTTATTTTAATAATCAAAAAAAAGATATATAAAATGTGAAGTTTTAACAAATTCAGATTTCAGGTACCTACTTGTATACACACCACTTAATGGAAAAAAATTGTTTAAGGATAAACAACAAAAAAAGCATATTTATATATTTTCAAGTATTATGTCTAGTTCTCTATTTACTTTTTAATATTAGAAATCTAAATGAATTTACATGTTGGGATTTTTACATTTGGAAGTTAATTATTGAGTCTGCTAAATATTCTAATTACGGTGATGCAACGAAAACAGGTTTATAAATAATAATTACGTACGTGTAGATTTCGTCACCCTAATATAACAAGGTTGTATGTTAAAAAAAACGAAAAATTTAAGTCTATGTTTCTAAAGGATTATACGTGGCCTACGCTTCACATACCACTTAAAAATAATTCTATAGAATGTATATTCTATGTATACATATATATAGAGTTATTTTCAAGTTGTATGTCCAGGGTGGATTACATAAAACCTTGTAGAAGCATAAACTCAAATTTTTCGGTTTTTTAACATACAACCTTGTTATATTAGGGTGACGATTTGTAAGATAAAAAATAGTTTTTATTAATAATAATATTGAACAAATATGAGTTGTGCTATCCAAAAATGCCTATTGCATAGAATAATTAAATATACCTACGTTTTCAATACAAAATGATATTTTTTAATTCATTAGTTGTTATTTTTATTTACATACTTTTAATATGCAACGTGCATTTCATCTTAAAAATAAAAATGATTTTTTATTCCATTTGGAAACCGCAACAATAATAAATAGCATATTAATTAGGCATGGAAAAACCTAAGTTGTTAATCCCGTTATCTAAATTAAAATCTTATTCACAAAATTATTTTCAAAATATAGCCATTATTGTCAACACTCACTTCTAAAGTGCCTAGGCTATAAAAATAATTTAGATTAATCGGTTAAAGTTTTTGTACCTCTTTTAGCCTGTAGAAAACCTGTTTGAACAAATCAAAAAATTCGATTATTATCATTATAATTGTACGTTTTATTTATTGTTTTACAAATGGAGATAATAGTATATTATGTATCAAGTTTGATAAACGACATTTTAGTCACGAATTTAATTTAGGCACGAGCGAACTTGCGAGCGAGTGCTTAATTAAATGGGTGCCTAGAAAAGTTTATTAACGAGTTGCTTACTATACTTTTTCTACGACAAATACTTAATATTATCTGAAAAATTATTTAAATTAATTATTTGTATAAAGCAACATCTACATATACGAAAATAAACTAACCATTTTTGACGTAATTTTCACCATTAAAATTTCCCGTTATTATTTTAATTAAACTTAACAATTATTGATACTTTAAAATACTAAAACAAGAGAGGCACTTTATTTTAACGATTTTAAGTATGGCATTTAACAACTGTCAACTAACTTAAAAATAACTTCAGCCTAATTAAAAACCTATTGCTAACTTCAGCCCGTGACTAAAGCGCCATAAAGCCATTACTATTACGTACATTTTAAAGTGTACAAACATGTTTTTCCAATGCAAGTGAGTTTTAAGCATATCCTATCTTATTTTAATTCTTCTAATAAAGCAATTACAATAAAGTATTAAAAAAATACTAAATGTCTATATTACAATTTATTCACGTGTCTTATAGTAAAATAATGGTTTTAACAAGATTTTCCTTAATTATTTATTAGGTATTATCCGCTATTACAAACCGCAACAATATAATTAATTAAAGATTATATATTATAATTTATTTTGTTGGTTTATGCACTTAGGGAAAACCGAGATGTTATCTAATTATTATAAATCGCAATGAAACAGATATTTAAATCAACGAAATTACATATATCATATGTCGGGATTTTACTTTAAAATGAGAATTTTATAGTTTTTTAATATCTTGGAATAAAAAAATGATATAATCTGATGATGGTAAAAATTTATCCTGGAAACCTAAACATGTGAATTACTTTTTTTAGGATAATTAGTTTTACCTTTATTTAAATTATTTTTTAATTTTTGGTTTCATATACAGTCTCCCCATAAAATATACTTCACTCCTAAAGCATTTACACGTTTTCTTACTTTCTGAGCACCCTGTACCTTTTATTAGTTTGTTTATGGGAATCTCAGGCTTTTTTATAAAATTTTTGGGAAAATTTAATTAAAAATTATATAGACCATGCTGGTTAGGTTTTTCACACCCTTTTATTTACTACTTTGGACCACTACAAAAAATCTACCTAACCTCACTTTCTACTTTTGTTAATTATTATTATAATTCTACGTTTTATGTATCGTTTAACAAATAAAATTGATAAGATAAAATATTGTATGGCAAGAAGTGTCATTTTGTGCTTCACTTAATTGACCCACAGGAAAAAATCGCAATGATCAAATCAGGTGATATTAGAGGCCATGGGAAATTTTAGACTTAGGAAAATAAAATTAAAAAATACATACAAAACTTTTAGAATTATTTAAAATGGGGTGGGTTGAAAACAAAATGTTATAAAAAAAGAAAATTAAAAAAAAAAAATTTTTTTACCCAACATCTTGAGGTGGCCCACTCGTTTTTTAAATAAATATTTAATCAAATGGGGTAGTTCCAACGGGAAATTCTTTTTTTCGTTCTAGAATCTGTAGAGTGTCCCCTTAAAAGCCAATTATTGGAAATCAAAAGTTGAAAAAGTTTTTTTCCCATTGTTTTTGGAAATTAAGTAAAAAATTAAAAAATGAAATGCACTTTCTTTTGTATTAAAATAAAAGTTGTTTGAAAAAATCACATTCTACAATTTTTACATGTTTTCCACGATTTTGGACCAAAAAAAGAATTTCCCGTTGGAACTACCCCATGTGATTAAATAGTTATTTAAAAAACGAGTGGGCCACCTCAAGATGTTGAGTAAAAATTTTTTTTTTCTTTTGAGAAGTTTTCTTTTTTTATAAGGTACAAATTCTACCCCCATGCTAAGGAAAAAAAACAAACATTTTGTTTTCAACCCACCCTAATGTCCACAAAACCGTGTATTAGAACTGTATAAAAAATATGATTATGAAATGAAAAAGTACTAAAATATATTTTTCTACTTCCACCTTTAAAACGCCCATTATCGTACATGTTTCTATGACAATAAGTTACCTTTTAAATACACATTGACAAGTAGTGGCTTTATGGCGTTTTAGTAACGGGCTTAAGTTAGTTTTAAGTTAGTTGATAGCTGTCAAATGTCATACAATTGTTAAAATAAAGTGTTCTTGTAAAATTATACTAAATGCAAAAATTATTTTATTACCTCAATACAAAAATACAAAAGTAAACCAGATTTCTATTGTTTTATAGAGGTCGCTCTTTACAAATATTTAATTTAAATCATTTTTAGATTTTAGGATTTACCCAAACAATTCCAAAATTATAAAATTATAAACAAAAATAACCAAAAGTATTAAAACAATTACATACATCCAAAAGTTTAAAATAAGTGCATTACTATTTTCTCTGACTGTACATCGTAGATTTTGATTTTTAATATTATTTCGTGATAAAAATTATAAATACCTAATAATAAAAAATAAATAATAAAAAAGTATTAAAATGGTATTTTTCCCATTGGACATTATTTTTATTTAAAATTCAGTATTAACTTTAACAAACAACTACATTTTTTAATTAATTGGCATTGAGTATTTAATAACACAAATTAAAATTATTGTTTTATTTCATAAACAAACACTTAATTACTTATTTTTTCACTTACCTATTAATATTTTTAAATAAATAATTACATATTTCCAATTTAAATTACAAGAAGATATATTGATTATTAAACATTAAAAATACAACAATAACAAACACTAATCAGAAAATCGCCAGGTCATTCTTCTTTGTAAACCAAATCTTCAAAAAAATAATAATAAGCAAACAGGATATCGCGATATAGCGTATTTTTTGCCACCAGTGATGTAAGCGAATCGTGATTACCATTACAACCTGATGTTGAAGCTCACAAAACAAAACAGTGCAGATCAGTATAAAAACCGATGGTACCAATGATTTTCATCAGTACATACCATGAGGTGGCCAACGCCGCTAGTACTGCTGACCTTCGTGGTCCTCAGCGTAAAAAGTGAAGATTTTTCGGCTAGCGAGGAAGAGGTGCCAAAGGCAGTCCCCAAATCAGGGGACGTGGTTTACTTGATTGATGTTATTTCCCCTGTGGTGGACCCTAGTACACAAGACGACGGTATCAGCAATGATATCAGTGCAGTTAAAGAATACAAGCACAGTTTGCTTTTGGTGAGACCCATTCCAGCTGATGAAGCCGGAGATGGAGTTTACTTTAGACCCCAAAATGGCAAACCGTTGGATGAACCTCAAGTGAGTCTCTGTCATTAAAACCTAGTATCATTTAACTTATCTTTTTACCATTTATTAAATATTTTTTTAATTTAAAATTGTATTGGTTTAAACATTTTAGGTTAACATTTATAAATTTTAAATATTTTCAACTATCTTGTATTAAAAGACAAAATTAACTAACTTCTGTATTTGTGCAAATTTCCAATTATATTTTTTTAATAAAAGTAGGTATAACTATTTATTTAAGCAGAATTTTTAAAATCTTAAATAAATATTTTATAAAATTATTTAGTATAAATTGGTAAAGTTCAACTTTTTACTATTTAAAAGTAGTGTTGAGACATTTAATATAAAAACACATATAAAACATTTTTTACCAAAATAGTTTAAAAAGTTAAATTTGTTTAAATTTAAAAAAAAACAATTAAGAATAAAAAAATATTTAAAAAAATTGTAGTTGTAATATTTTATTCTACAAAATTATTGGTTTAAATTTAAATTAAACCAATAACTTTTATTTTTAACAAATTTAAATTGATAAATTTTTAACACAAACATATAACACCGCCGACGGTGGACTAGTGGTCAGTGCTGCTGATTACAAACCGAGTTGTCGTGGGTTCGAGTCGGTTTGGTATGGTTGTTTATTTGTGTTTGTCCTATTGTGTATTAGTCCTTCGGAGGGGACTTTAAGCCCGCGGTCCGTTCCTACCCCTAACCCGCACAAGCCATTCAGTTGGCTTATGGGACTTCTTAGGAAGTAAGGGTGGAACTAAAAGAGCACTTTTGTATATACTTTTGTATATTCACATTACATTTAAATGTAAGTCAATAATTTTTAATTCACAAAGTGTAAACGCTGCTTTAGCTGACTGCATATGCTGCAGACTTGTATACAAGCGTATACGCTTGTACGTTTCACCGACTATGAACTATGCTTAAAATTGACCACTCAAGAAAGAGACAGTCTGCTAAAGCTACGTCTTAAAAATTTATCAATTTAAAATTGGTAAAAATTAAAAGTTTTGGTTTAAATTTGTCATTTAAATGATAGTCGAAAAATTACCACGAATTTTTGTATTAAGAATTTATTGACTATCATTTAAATGACTCTACAAATTTCAACCAACTCTCTTAAAATAAAATAGTCAAAATTTTACTATTTCAACTAGTACCAGACTTTTTTACTAATAAAATAGTCGTTTTCATTTTTTAATAGTTATTTTTTACTACTTAAATAGTTAAAGTTTGACTTATTTAAGATTAGTATTCATTTTTGACTATTTCTGAAATTTAAAAATAACTAATTTCTTTAATCGTTTGCGGCCAACAACAAATTATTGTTAATGGTCCATAAAAACAAAGATGCAAAAAGTTTAGCTCAAAACAGAAACACAAAAAATATATCTAACTTTAAAATATTATGAGCAATTATAAGTATTATACTTATAGACAAATAAAATTGATTTTTATGAAAGTGACTGATATCTCATTGGTTATGACATACGCTTGACAAGCTTGACAACCGACAGACCCGAGTTCAAACCCCGGCTGGGTCAGAACTTTTTTTAAATTTAAATCTACTAATTTGACTATTTCATTCAATAGAATTTGACTGCTTTTTCGCTATGACAATTAGTCAAATATGACTTATAATTAGTTATTTTTGACTAATTCGTTTTAAAATTTAAAATTGTATTCATTTAAAATATGTTTTGACTATCAATTGTTTTGAATTTTAAAAAATTTAACTTTGTAAATTTCTGTGATCCACTAAACTTTAATCTTCAAATTATTATCTAATAAATGCTAAAACGGCATGCCATAATTTACAATGTTCTTTATTTTTGTAGACTTTAAAGGTGTCTCCCCCAAAAATTCGCAGACGTCGTTCCTATAATAAAGGAAGCAGCGGCGGTGGATTCGGAGGTGGCGGTGGAGGCGGGGGCGGTGGCTTCGGCGGCGGTTTTGGAGGCGGCAGTGGAGGAGGTTTCGGAGGTGGATTTGGAGGTGGTAGCAGTGGTGGAGGCGGCGGAGGAGGCGGCGGCGGAGGCGGTCTCGGTTCACTTTTAGCCGGACTTACAGGTAAGAAAATAGTATATTATCATACGAGAGATAATGCGCATAATCTCAGTGTACTCTTTATATACTTCAACTAGTAGATAATTAAATCTCCCAGTTTAAAACCAAATTGGTGTATAATGAAATTGACCAATCCCAATAACAGAAATAATAAGTTCATTCCCGTTCTTTGGCGGGGCGGTTATAATGGTTATCATTATATACGGAAAAACAATATTAATAGTGGTACTTTCTTAAAATAAAATAGCTCTACTATTTGAATTATTACCAGCATTGTTTACTAATAAAATAGTCGTTTTCACTTTTAAAAAGTTATTTTTTACTATTTTAGTAGTTTATGTTTGACTAATTTAAAATAAGTTGACTGTTTCTTATAGTAAAAAGTAAATAATTTCTTTAATCGCTTTTAATTCTTGCGGCCAGAACAAATTATTGTTAGAGTTAAATGCATATAGACTACATGGTTAAATGGCCCTTAAAAACAAAAAAAGATGCAAAAATTTTAGCTCAAAAACACAAAAAAGATATTTAACTTTAAAATATTACTAACAAACCCTGGCTGGGTTAATACTTTTTAAATTTAAATCTACTAATTTGACTATTTCATTCAGTAGAATTTGACTAATTATAATTATTAGTGATTGCTTTTTCGCTATGACAATTAGTCAAATGTGAGTTATAAATAGTTATTTTTGACTAATTCATTTTAATAGAGTAGATAAAATGAATTAATAGGAGTATTAATTTTCTTTTTTACTGTTTTTATTACAAACCCAAAATTTAATTTTAAATTATGAAATAAACCTTTTCATTATACAATTAATTTTTATTCTTGTTTCAGGTGGCGGACACGGGGGTCAAACTGGAGGTTACGGCGGTAACAGTGGATACGGCGGCGGTAAAGGGGGCGGAGGTGGAATAGGTGGCGGCGGTGGTTTCGGAGGCGGTGGAGGCGGCAGCCCAGGTGGCGGTGGATACGTAAAACCCCAACCACAAGGTAAATTTGGTATTTCTGGGTCGTTTTGTTTGATTCTGATAACTTTTATTTAAGCAGCTGTGCTCATACCCATTGGAGGCGGCGGTAAAGGAGGCGGAGGTGGTTATGGAGGTGGCGGAAGCTCAGGTGCCTACGTCGCTCCTGGAGGAGGTTATGGAGGACAAGGAGGTGGCCTTGGAGGCGGTGGCGGTGGAGGAATAGGCGGCGGTGGCGGCGGTGGAATTGGTGGTGGTGGTTCGTCAGGTAATATACATTTATAACTATATTTAATTCAATGTATAAATCTTCTTTTGTGCTTCATTAGGTGGATACGGTGGCGGACCCGGAGGCGGCTATGGAGGCGGTAAAGGAGGCGACGGATATGGCGGGGGCGGTGGTCTCGGCGGAGGCGGTGGTCTCGGTGGAGGCAGTGGTCACGGTGGAGGCGGTGGTCTCGGTGGAGGCAGTGGTCACGGTGGAGGCGGAGGTCTCGGTGGAGGCGGTGGTCTTGGAGGAGGCGGTGGACTTGGCGGAGGCGGTGGTAGCCATGGTGGCTACGGGGGACCTGGTAGTTCCGGTATTTCATTTCCTGGAGGCGGTGGATCCGGAGGTGGTGGTGGAGGAGGCGGTGGTGGAGGAGGAGGCCTCGGCGGAGGTTCTTCCGGCGGAAACTACGGAGGTGGTAACTACGGAGGTGGTTCCCATGGTGGAGGTGGTTCCCATGGTGATGGTGGTAACTATGGTGGCAGTGGAGGTTGTGATACCTGTGGTGGAGGCGGCAAAGGTGGTGCCTATGCCAGTGCCAAAGCTACTGCCTCTGCAGGAAGCTAGTAAGTAATAGAAATATTTTTTTACAGCCCTAGTGTTAAAAAAATACAATTTTTTTATTTATGTATAAAAATACATCATTTTTATTTATTTATTTCATTAATGGCTATTTTACAAATAAAATATTAAATCTGAAACAATGAAAACTGACAAAAATCGCAACATAAAATAACGAAAGAGAAATTTTATCACGCTTTTTAACTGTTTCAAGATAATTTTTTTTCACGTGACTAACAATATTTTTATTTATTTTTCAGTGGAAAATAACCATGTCAATTGAGTAAATGCAAAAATTGTATTGTAATATAGATTAAGTTTGTACTGAAATTTATAAATAAAGATTTATTTAAAATAAACTCGTTATTTTAATTATTTTGTTGTTTTTATAATATTTTATAATTAAAATTAAGCTTCAAGAAATTAACAACAAAATCCATTAAAAAATAATACCTTTGATGATTTAGATTAAATATTCAAGGTTACGTTAAGTGGAATATAAAATATACCTGAATAAAAAGTAAATACATAATTACGAGGTCTATTGTATAACCATATAATAATTATAATGAAATAAAAATTAATTATAGTTTTTTATTTTTATTCTTGAATTTAACATTTAATGCGTATTATGTATGGTAAACAATATTCAATAAAGAAAATTATTGTGCTTGTGTTTACTTTTTATTTGACCTACATATGCATGTAAGCGTGGATTGGATAAACATTTTGTCGACAGAACATTAAAGGGTTTGCTTACAATATTTGAGGTAAATTAAATTTTCAAACTATAATTAAAAGTTTAATATTCGTAATTGACAAAATATTAAAAAATGCCTTAAATATATTATGTATCCCTTGAAAATGGACAACCGTTTAAATCCGATATAGAATCAGTTTTTCACAGTGAAAGTAGAGAAGATGTTTTATGGACACTTCACGATGGAGTCTCCACCCATTTAGCTCGAAATCAGTGCAGGTAACTGCAAAATTACTGTAAAATAAATTCATGCAGATTTTATTATAGGTAGATAATGGTGATGTTTTACATTAAAAAAAAACTTATAATATAAGAACTTCCGCCTGTTAGGTAGGTAAGGTATTATTTTTGTGACTTGTTTATAAAAAACAAAAGAATCCAACATAAAAAACAATTTTAATAAACATTTTGTTCCTGATACATATAAATTTCATGTTAAATGGACGTTAAAAAATTATCAGAAATGGCACAGGCTCAATTTTTCTTCCAAATCGTGTTAAGACCATCAACAGATTTTAGTAAATGAATTAAAACCATATTAACTTACGTCAAGACCCCGATTTAAATTTTAGGACACAATAAAGTTTGTATTATTTTTTGTTCAAACATTCTTGAAAACTGTTTCCTACAAATTTTCTATGATATTGAAAACAGTGGTTTGCAGGGGTCATATAATTTTTTTTAATCATCCTTTTGTGACCTTTCAATTTACCATAAGGTATTATTACATCATTCAATACCAGTGACTGGCAAAAATATGTTTTTGTTATTCTACAAATAGCAAGTGTCCATAATATAATAAAAAACTTCCATATATTATATGGAAGTTTTTTATTTGATATTTTTTTGTTAGCATATAATTTAAAACAAATATTCACTACAAGATGTAAAAACTTTTAGTTCAGCGTTTAGTACTTCACTTAGAGACAGATACTTCATATTTCGAAGTATTTAAATATGGGCCATTTAACGAAAACACAGAGAATTGAAGTTTTAATTCTCATAGGATGTGGCAATAAAACTAGAAAACAACAAGAAGTTTGCAATTTATTTAATGCAAAGTATCCAGCTCGATCTATTACTTGTGAGCACACGGTTAGTAAAATTGATCGAAAATTCAGAGAGACTAGACATGTCAAATATATTTAAAAACCTGACCGTCCGAGTATTAGCGAAGACACTAAAATTGACATTTTGTTACGTGTGGAAGAAGATTCTCACAGTGCTTCTAGCTTAGTCGCAGCTGAAACTCAAATCAGCCAACGCTCAGTATTACATCTAAGCAAAGTACCATCCATACAAAATTAGACTAGTGCAGAAACTTAACTAAGATGATTCGGACCGTAGACTACAATTTTGTAAAACTATGATGAATTTATCTAACAATAATCCACACTTTCCTCGTAAGACACCTTTTTCGGGCGGAGCTACCTTCTGTTTGAATGGTACAGCCAACCGTCAAAATTGTAGATACTGGAGCAGAGAAAATCCTTATTTGGTAGTGAAAGTACCAGCAAAAAGTGAATGTCTGGTGGAAAATCGGATCATAGGTCCTTTCTCCTTTTACAAGAATATGACAGGATAAACGTATTTCGAATTTTTGTAAAACTCTCTTCTTCCCACATTAGCAGAAATGTTTCCCAATAAGAATGCATCTACCAAGTGATACCATTTGGTTTCAACAGGACGGGGCACCTCGGCACTATGCGCGTCCTGGTGGATTGGCAGACGAGGACCTATAAAGTGGCCAGCGAGATCTCCAGATCTCATCCCTCTATTTCTGGGGCTACCTTAAATCAAAGGTCTACATCAACAGACCACAAAATTTAAAAACATGAAAAATCAAATTTGTGAATAATGTAGCTTTATTATTATTATTATTAAGTCATCCAAAACGTTCTCAAAGAATTGTTGGATAGGCTTGTTCACTCTCAAGAAACCAACTGGGAGCAATTCAAACATTTAATTGGTTAATGTATCCATTAAAAGCATTTTCAAAATAATTTTGATAAAGATATATTTTTGGAAATAAAAATAGTTAAATTACGAACTTTTAAATTCAATAATACCCAAAACTATCATCCCAAAAGGTATAAATTTAGTTATAGATATAGAGGTCAGTAACTCTATAATGAGTCACTACTAAGAACCAGAAATATAATAGAAAGAGTATTTGGAATTTGGAATAAAAGGTTTCCAGTGTTGGCATATGGCTTAAGAATAAAACTAGATACAGTTTTGTCCATTATTCCAGCTGTAGCTGTACTACCTAATATTGCTAGAGACATGAATAAACCAGAGCCGCCATTTCCTGATGATATTAATGCCATGAACTGGAGTACCCTGTTGTTACTTATCCACAAGATCGCATTATGTTTCAAAATAAATAAATACAAGATTATTTTGCGAATTTATAAAATTTAATGTGAATAATATTATAATATTAGGTATGGATGTTTTCTTTAATTTACACTTATTTAAAATTAAAATAAAATAAATATTCACTTCTTGTTTATTATTATAATATATTAAGTTTTTCTTTTTCTTCTAAAATTTTTAAATCCGAAAGATTCATTTCTTTTTAATTTATTGTTAATTTGGTTTTCAATGATACCCTTGTATCCACAAGATTAATTAAATGATTTTCTGAAAAGTTTTAGGAGCGAGCCCTCTTTTTTTCAGGTTCTGTATCCATATTATTCTCTCTTACCATCAACTAGTGTTATTAATATTAAAATAATCCGATTTCTTGTAAACAATATAGCCCAAAGCCATCTCATCAAAGGATATTCAGATGCATGCAAATTCAATAGAATAAATACTTGAAAATAATTGACTTGTGGTTATCAAACAAGATATAAAAGATCAACACAACTTGCAATCCTTAGTCTACCATCTTACTAAAATGAAATACCCAATGTTTATGTTGTTGCTAGTGGTAACGACAGCATATGCGTCTCTAAGCACCAACCAAATCCAAGATGGCGGTTTCCATGAAGCAAATAATGTTGGGTTGGGTTATTTGATGGAGTTTAATCAAGATGGTGATGGATTTAATCACGATTATAAAGGTAGTATATTGATGTATTTGTTGGGACCAAAGTACCAGAAATTGCAGGTAATAAAAAGTTTTTTGGACATATTTTATTAAATAAATCTGCGTATGCAAGTTCATCAAGATCATTAAATTATTAAATTCTTTAATTTCCCCGATTTGTATACCAAATTTCAGCTTAGTTGGATAATTGAAAGTACAAATCGTTTAAAAAGATATACAAATTATAAAAAAGTAATATTTTGGCATTTTCTTTTGTAGATTCTTGCACAGCCAGAATTGACCCCTCAACATGAAGAACGCGTAAAAAGATCACCAGGATGTAACCGTTGTGGAGGTGGCGGTGGAGGTAGAGGATATCCTGGGGGTGGCAGAGGAGGCGGTAGTGGATGGGGAGGCGGCGGTGGATTTTAAGAATGAGTTTAATATACTAAATTGATTCAGCCTTATTTACATATTTTAGATAATTTTACAAATAATTTTTATATTGCAATATTTCTTTTTATTTTAGTGGAGGCGGCGGAAGACGAGGTGGATATGGAAAATAATATCATAAACTAATATACAATTAAGTTTTAATAAAGTTTTATCATTAAAATGCTGGTTTTAATAAAAAATTGTGTTGTATTTAAGTGTTGGTTGTTAAAATTAACAATGGATATGGATATGCTAGTTATGTAAAAGTTTGTGTTTTAAAAAACTACAATGTTTCCGAGAATTAAAATAATTATTGTTATTTAACACTTTCATGTAAATTAGTTTATATACACTAAACATATTGTGGTTTTTAAAGTAAATAAATAAATAAAACTAACAGCTCAACCAAATTTTAAATAATTAGGTATAACTATATAAATGTCTTATACCGTATAAGACATATATTAAAAATATACATACCTACTTAAAACCAAAGAATAAATATCTTTAGAAGATACTCAATAAAAATAAAAAATGCTGTACTCTAATGCCTGTTAAAAAAAATCATAAAAAACATTTAAAAAAGTATAAAGAGTATCAGAAAAAAAATAGTTAAATACAAATTATTATAAAATACACTCACCGACAAAAAACAATTTTAATATGTATTTTCTCGTGAACGCTAATCTGATTTTGATTATTTATTTTTGTATTGTAGGTTAACTCTTCAGCATCGATGCTTTCGTAAAATATGGTTTTCTTATTTTAATTTGAGCAAATACAGGGTGCAAAAGTAAAAAGAATTTTTCCTCGAAATTTGTGCCAACTCACGTTATTATGAATGGTGCGATTGTTTTAAAACGGTGTATTCTTGTTAATAACAAAAATAATATAGAAAGACCTGTAAGCTGGATAGGTTGATGGCGTTACTAATCTACTACTTTAGAAAATATAGGGCTACAGTCAAATTCCAATTTACATCCGTTTCCGGAGGAAAATGTTTATAACTTGTGCACCCCGTTTAGGCTCAAATTAAAATCTGATTAAAAATGTCATTGCATCGGTATTGAAAAGTCAACCTACAGTTAAAAAATCATTCAAATTAATTTTGAGTGTAGAAGAATATTATAAAAGAATAAAAACGCAAGAAATTGTCAAAAAAAGTAATAATACCATGTTAAATTATTA